AAGCTTCTTTTCGGGAGGGAACAACTCTAAGTGGCTCCAGCCTCCTAAGAAACCATATGTTTATTAAAGGGCCCCATGTCTCCTCACTTCCATCACTCTTTTGTCTAGAAGTTCGATGCTTTCCAGGAGACGATCACAATGTGCATGGGCAAAGGTGTGCCTAGGCTGGTCTGTCGTAGGTCTGACTAGAGACCAGGGACTGGATGAGGCCATCTCCCCAGGTAATTCAGGGTAGCATCCAAAGAGGCAGGAGCCTTGGACTCATAGGGAGCGGCCAGGAGCCATGGAGAAAGGAGAGTCCCCCAAGCAAAAATACAGCCAGCGTCTCTTAGGGGGCTCTCAGCCTTGTTCATCTGAGATAAGTAACCAGCCTGCCCTACTCTACCGCTTGGAATATATTTTTAGGATCTTTTCATGAGCAAAACGTTTGTCAACCCTTTTATAGATCAGTTACGAAACAGAAACTCTTCCTCACTGCTAGGGAGACGTATAGAAGGGGGGAAGAAAGAAAAAAAATCTTGCCTGTAATTGAAGGCAGGTTGGGAGATGTTCACGCTTTGAAATTCTCCTTCTTGTGAAATGTTTATGAAACACTTTCCACAAACGAGTTATGCAACTGGCACTACAGCTTTGATCATTTTCATCGCCAGTGATATATTCATTAATGTTGAGTTGTTTTCCCCCCAAGAGAGTGCCATGTGAAATGTCCCGGGGAGGGGGCTAAGGCTAGGTACTCCAGCCCCATTGCATGACCCCAAACAGATGGTTAATAAGGAGGTCCAAGTGTAGGTCTGGGCCAGAACATCACCTATGGTCTGTTCTCTCTCCCATCCCTGAGATGTTTGTAGTATTGTTTTGTAGATAGAGTGCCTGGGGAGGGTCAGAGGACCATTCTCTTGTAGCGTTTAGCCAGTGTCTTGTCGTGTAACTTTACACGCATCTCTGAAGCACTCCTGGTCTCTGTGAGATGGGAAGATAAACACTCATCCCCACACTTCCTGGCTGGGCGGTGAAGCCAAGTAAGGAATGTATGAAGGGTTTCCAGTTCCTCAGAAGGGGCTCTCTCTTCCCAGAATGAGGCTATTTCTTTCTAAAGCAGGTGATGTCAGGGAGTTCGCTGGGATTAGAAAAGATAATCACCCATGATACCTTTCTACCTCCCTGGTCACTGCCCAAGACTCAGTGTAACACCTTTGCACAGCTCGGTGGGTGGAGAAGATCCTGAACTAACAAGCCATGTCTAACATATGGACGGGATGACCGATGGCTGTGACCAGGCAGAGGCCTCTGTGGTGGCCCACATCCCCAGGGATTAGTCCATCCCAAACAGGGCCTGGAGAAATATTTCACTTGCGTGAGAAGAAGCTCCAAAGGGACCCTGGAGATGATCTTCACGGTTCCAGACAGGCTGTGGGTTTGGTTGGGTTTTCACAAGTACGGGGGAAATTGGGTCTTCATCCAATTTGCCTCCGGTTCTCACATTAGAAGTCAATGAGATCCAACAGAAGTCTGTCTCATTTTCCCAATCCACAGCCAACACCCAGTTGCCTGGAAAGGCTCCAATCTTTTCCATTCGACAGCTGTGAAAGGGCTTTTTGGATTTGGAAGGGACTTGATTTCTTGATTTCTTATTGTCTTCGCTAGCCCCTGAACTCTCAGAGAATCGTCGGAGAAGTGTGTCGGGGTCGGGAGGGCAGGCAGAGTTGCTGCTGTATCTTCTCCTCCTCCAAGTTCAGCTCTGCTCTTTCTGAGACTCACCGACCAAACTGGAGATTTTAGAATTTGTCACAGGAGAAGTAGTCTGCTTTACTGTCTTTCAGATTGGTTTGTTTAGGATTGTCTCCTTTGGGGTTTACCGTCAGCAGCTCACACACAAGGGGTAATGAATTATGAAAAATGAAGGAGTAAGAGGTTAATAAAGCAAGAACTGAGAAGAGGAACACACAGAGTTGTCAAAACGCCCCAGGCTAACACCCAGAGGGATTTATTTTTGCTATCAGACACTTCATTTTCAGAAGTGGGAGGTCGGCAGTGCCCCTAAAAGAGTTTGGAGGGCAATTGATCCAGGAAGCAGATGAAAGAGTGAGTTTTCTTTCATGATGGTGCTGGTTTCTGAAATTAAGTGTTGCAGGAAGACCTGGCACTGATTCTAACAGATAGCACCCAGGTTGGAGGCAAAGCACATGTTTTCAAGCTGTGTCATAGCTGCACCCCCTTATCTCCCCGTTGCGCATAATGAGTCTATAAAGGAACCCTGCCACTTGCCTCTGAGCTGGAGCCGCGCCAAGCTGCCTGCGGTGGTTCCACCAGCGTGCTTTGAGCTCCAATTTTCCATGTTCTCCCTCCGTCCCCCTCCATTCTGCCTCACCTATCCCCACTCGGGATGAGGGCCGTCCAGGAGAAGGAGGGGGTTGCAGAAGGGAGATGTGGGGAAGGGAGGCTTCCCTTAAGTAAAATCTCCCCTCTGAGCAAAGCTTAAGATTGGTGGTGGTTTGAAATAAGTAGTTTACCATCTATTTTGAGCTTTTTAAAACCTGCTAACAAATGTTTCCCCGGAATCTAGGATGTGAAAACTCTAATTTCTGGGGGAAGAACTAGGACAGCAAGCTTCTTAGATGGAGATACCAAGTGTGGGTGGGGAGAGCTGAAGGGCACTGGGGGTAGGGATGGCGGCTGTCCTGGAGATCACTCCTGGGGGGCAATGCCTTTGGAGTTCTCCTGATGTCTAGCTCTCTGCCCCCATTGTGCTACTTCCTGACGCTCTCCCTTCCTCTTCTTTGCTTCCAAGACTCCAGAATAGCCTCCTTAGGTGAGAGAAGAGAGGAGTGATTTGTAAAGACTGTCCCTAAAAGAAGCATCCTCTTACCAATTTGGGCGCAACTAGGACTTCCTAGTGCTGTTTAGATCTGCTTTATCTAAGAACACTACAGCAACGTGGACTAGCCAGATTCTGCCAAATACACCACGGAATTGGAATTTTATAATTCCATTCTAGGACTGAAAGAAAAATGATGTAGAATCATACAACAGATGGGGAAACCAAGTCTTATAGATATGAAATGATTGCTCAAGGTTACATGGTCAGTTAGAGTCAGAGTTAGGACTGGAAACAAGTTCTAGCTCCCTGTTTGATGTCTTCCTCGCTGTATCCCGCTGAAGGATGGAGAGGTGGATTCTGATTATGTCTTTTATTCAGTTAGCATGCATTCAGTTCCCACTATGTACAAGGCACCATATTTAGGACGTGAGCTCCCTCCTCAGTCTCTGTCACTCAACAAGATCTTCCTAACTCTCCAACCAAAGGGAACTCTTGGTTGAGTAATCCAAAGCACCATTCTTCCACAGCGATTAAACACAAGTAGAACTGTTAGTCTGAACCTTTACCTTGGGTTAAACTAATACAGAAAAGATTCCAGGATGTCAGTGATATTCCCTATATAGACCATGAAAATGCTTTAAGCCAGGGTCGCTATGGCCAGGAGGTTCCATCAGAGGGTCGCCCAATGTCTTTTATAAGGTATGGTCTAGATCCCAAGCTCCCTGCCATATTATATGAATCCAAAGTCACTTGCATACTCCCTACCCAACGCCCCCATCCCCACAATGGACTTCCTGAAACGCTGCAAGACGGTACAGTAAGTCCCCTACATACAAACGAGTTCCATTCTGAGAGCGTATTCTTAAGTCCAATTTGTTCACAAGTCCAACAAAGAGAGCCTAGGTGCCCAGCTAACACAATCGGCTATACAGTACTGTACTGTAATATGTTTATAATACTTTTCACACAAGTAATACATAACAAACAAACAAAAAATAAAGCAAACATTTTAAATCTTACAGCACAGTACCTTGAAAAGGACAGTAGTAAAGTACAACCGCTGGCATACAGGGGCTGGCATCAAGTGAACAGGCAAGAAGAGTTACTGAATGGAGGAGGGAGAGGAGGTGAGAGATGGTAGAGCTGAGGGATCGTCAGCAATAAGAGACAGAGGGCAAGCTGCAATTTCACTCACGCCTGATGTCGATGGCACCAGTTCTGGTTCCTTGCTGGAACCAGATGCATGTTCGCATCTCTGAAAGTCTGCAACTTGAAGGTTCGTATGTAGGGGACTTACTGTAGTTTTTCTCGGGGTGGGAGGAGGGGTGGCCACAAGTAGTGCTTCCTGCCCTGCCCTTGGACACCTGGAAAGCCCACAGGTGGGTGGTTAGTGCTGCCACCGAAGGGTGGCGGAGGCTGGAGAGGGTTTGCACACCACCACAGTCCCCTCAGGCTGCAACTACAGCAGTGATTGTGAAGGAGACATGTCCCCACCTGTAGGGAGACAGGCAAGGACTGTCACCTAAGCCACATGGGTGAAGAGGCCAGCTGCAAAGGTAGCTCAGCACGCAGAGGGCAGACAAGTGTGGAAAACAAGGGGGGACGGAGGGGAAACTGGCTCCCAGACTTTGGGATTTCGTGGACCAGGAAAATAAAAAAACATAATATAAAGGAGATTGGTAAAGGGTTGCCAATTTTTTTTTTTAATTTGTGAAAGTGCGGAGTTTTTAAAATACGATTTAGGATCACCATCATTTCCTAAAAGAAATTCTAACATACCACCCCCCAAGAAAAAAGAACATCACCTTGGAATCTAAAAGAAATGTCTAAAGTCACTACAAAAATTCCTCGTCTTTTGGCGTTTCAGTGAGGAAGAGCATATATTGCACTATGTACCAGCACATGCCCCGGAGTGGTGTTCGGGAACGATCAATCCAGGTGGATTCCCCATCTCGAGGATGGTTACTCCAGAGAGACTCTCACCTCTGTCCCTTACCAGCTGCCCCGGCCCGAAGGGCTCACACAGGCAGGAAAGTCAAGCTGCAGCCCAGTAGACGCTGAGCTAGTTCTTTGACTCTCCAGGCTTGTCACTTATCTCCTGCCTCGGTCTTCTCTAAGTTTCTACTTCTGTCTGCCTGGGGAGGCCCAGAACTGATGCTCTCCCCCCTGCCTCCACTTACAGATTAAAACCGAGGACCTCAGTGACTCTCTGCAGCAGACCCTCTCCCATCGGCCATGCCACCTGAGTCAAGGACCTGCCATGATACCTGGAAACCAAATGTCTGGGGTAAATGGCAGCCCGAGTCGGGAAGCCCTGATATTCTCAGAGGGCCAGTGAGTTTAAGTCAAGCCTCCTGCAAAATGCTTCACCTCTAGATCTGGCTCTCAGTGAATGCAGATTGGGCTAAAAAAAATCCCCTGCAGGGAAGCTTGGAGGCCTGCATTGGGAGGGGGGCTGGGTTACAGAAAAATCCTCTGAAAGATGAAGCCTGGCTAGTTATGGGAAGAAGGAGGTCTCCACCTCTCGGGAAGAAAAAGGAGTCAATCTTGCCAAAACAATGGAGCTAACCCCTACAATGGGGTTAGCTAGCCCCTAACAATGGGGCTGGGGTCTGCCAGCCATATTCAGGGGAGCCCCATGATGACAGCTGCTGTTGTGGTTATAGAGCATCTCCGTCGCCAGTAAGCCCATTCTCCTCCCCCAAGGTTTTGTCATACTAGAAGGAATAAAGAGGCACCTGAAATAGTAACGACAAATGTCTGAGAAGGCGGGTGTCCACGCGGCAAGCCCCTTTCTCGATCTGGATTCCCAGGGGAGGAAAGAGCCGACCCTTCCCTGGAAATATTTAAGACTAGAGCGTGCATTTATTCCTTCACTTCTTTATTCAGCAGGGGTTTACCAAGTCTTTCCTTTGTGCACAGACCTAAGCTCAGTCCTGTGGGGTCACAGAACCCTGGGGGTCTAGGTCGCAGAGGACTCCCAGATCCCCCAGGTATTGGGAAGTAGTATTTCCCTTTTGGGGGCTTTTGGGAGGAACCCAGGGGAAATGGACTTTCTGTTTAATCAAAGTGGTTTTATTAAGGACGAATAATGTGCCTCTTCCTCCAGGAAAGGTTCAGGACCAGGAAATGGCCAAGACAAAAGCGGCTTTTAGCATATCAAGTGGCGTGAGATTTTTTTTTTTAAATTAGAAAATTGGGATTGCATGTCATTTCTAGGATAAACCTCTGAGAGATGGATGATACCCACAGTCTGTGCCCTCGGGGCATTACCTGTAGCTGGGAGACCTTTCTGATACACAAAAAGGTTAAATAACAAGGCAAGGTTTAAGCGAGGCACAGCTTGGCTGAGTGCAGGAGGTGTAACAACACCATCATTAATGGGGTAGCTGCTATGTGTCAGACACAGGGATACAGAGGCATAGGGCAAGGTCCCTATGGAGACCCACAGGACAGATGGGCGGCGGGCAGATGGAGCCCACACTTGCAGCTTGTAAATTCTGTGATGCCTGTATCTCCCTGCACAGGACATGGCTTCCCTCCACCCGCTCCAGCAGCTTGTGCTGGTTCCCGGACACCTACAGTCTGTCTCCCAGTTCCTGCTATCTCAGACCCAGCCTGGGCAGCAAGGTGAGAAACCCTGGGGGCTTCTACATAGATGAGTGTGCTAAGGATCTGCTTCTGCCTGCTGGGACCCAAGTGTGGGGCGTGGCTGACTGGCTCACCCTCTAGTATTAAGAGCGGCTTGTCCACCTCAGGGCCCGAGGAAGCGACCTGGTGTGGCCCTCCAGGTTGAGTCTCCTTTTCTGCTTCCCCTTCCCATCATCCTCAATTTCATGGCCAGTTGAGACCGAAGGCGCAAGGGTGGCAGGAGCTGGGGCAGAACAAGGAAGGAGGAGCTCCTTGGGAATCACAGTCCAGATAAGTCCCGGATCCTTGGAAATCTCCCCAGGTTGTGGACGTGGACTCAGACTTCCACCCTTGGGAAGCTGGAATTCCATTTGGGTAGAGCGGCAGTGCCGCCCACAGGCTGTGGAGAGCGTTTTCAGGTTTTCTTTGGCAGGGAAGTTACTCACAGACAACTTCTCCTTGGCCAAGAACAAACAGATTAGAATATGCACAATAATAGCTAACATTTCTTGAGCATGATATGCCAGGAGCTCTGCGGAGTGATTTTCCTGACATCTTTCAAAATAACCTCGTGTGGTAGGTAGTCATATTATGTCACCGGTGACCTACTAGAAAGTTCCATAAAAGTCTGTCGGAAACCCGTGTTCTTGGCATTGCACTGTACTGCCTCTCCCTCTCCCATCTCCACCAAGTAGGGCTGAAAGTGATGAAGTATAAGCTTCCCTCCATTGCACAAATCCCGAGGAGAGGCTTTGGAAACCCAGAGCCCAAAGAAAACGTAACTCTGCCTTCTGTCCTTAGCACCTGCCCAGGTTATAGTTATCCTTAGTTACCAAGTCATCTCAGAGCGTTCTTATGATGATGAATGAGAACATACGTGAGCCTGTGAGCATTTATCTTAGCTAAACAGTACATGTCATACTCCTGGAATAGGAAAGGGAAGGTAACAGTTCACTCTGTTTCTTTTTGAAAGGCGGTGTTGTGAAACTGGCTCAGGCATATAACCAATGAGGTCAGTGTATGACACAGGGGGAAAGAAACGGTTTAGTATTTGGAATCAGAAAAACTCACTGGTTAAAAAAAAGTCCCCTGCTAGCTGTGTCTCCTTGAGAAACTTACCTAACCTCTCTGAGGTTCAATTTTCTCCTCCCTAAAACTGGAATCATAGTAAAACTCTGCCTCACAAGGTTATTGAGAGTTACTTGACATAATGCATGCGAGAAGGCTTTGTACATTTCAAAAGGCAACGTCAGTGTCAGATTACTATGAGCACTCAAGCTCCCGACTCCCAGTACAGGGCTCCTTACAAGAGCTTTTTTGCCTATGTATTTTAATAACGAAAAATTAAGCCCTGGTTGTTTTCGACTGAGGAGCAAAACGGTCAGCATCAGTAGATCTACACATCAGTGACCCAGAACAGCTTAGGGACGACAGAGAGCCCAGAGTTCTGCTGTGCGCTGAGTGCTTGGGGTGGCCTGCCTCATCGTGTGCTTCGGTAATTTGATGGCCCCATTCCCACGGTGAGAGTGAGAGTCCCTGGCTGTGGCTCTTCTTAGAGGGAGGCCACTGTCACGACCACCATCCAGGCAGAGCCCTTCATGGACAGTTTTCCCGGAGAAAGCGATCCTCAGGCCGTGCAATGAGCAGGTAGAGTCCATACCACCAGGTAGAGTTGCCCCCTGCTCTTCCCTCCTCTCTCAGCCTTTCCTCCCAAGTGTTCAATGTCTGGGTCCTGCCAAGAGCCTCTGCCAATTGGCTGCTGCCCTTTGGAGCTGTATGGCACCATTCCCTTGATCCGGCATCTTTGCAGATCAGGCTAGGCCTTTGTAGCCATCCCAGGTGCTTCTGCAGGCAAAACGGAAACCCTCAGCTCCAGCTTGAATTCTTAGTAGTCATCCCCACTTCTCCTTCCCCCTTGGGTTTCTCCAGGCCTGGTTCTCAAATCCCAGAGCAGGTTGCCTTGACCCTCCTCAGCCTTTCCACCACTCCAGGCAGGCGGGCAGGCAGAAGGACTGGTTTGGGGACTGCTGTTTACATCTGTGTATCCCTGTGTCTGATTCGCCTCCACCTGTGTGTGGCAATCCTGACAGTGCCCATGGGGGCCTCTCCACAAGGCTGGAGGCGGGGTGGATGGACATGATTAGGTAGTGGGGCGGGGACAGTTATCATGGTTCCAAAGCTGTAGAGCATGTCTTTTCAGCTGGCCTGGATTTGATTCGTTTGCTCCTTTGTTCCTCCCCTTTCACCTAGGTCTGCAGTCAAATCTTCTCTCCTTTCCACAGCAGCAAAGCTCTCTCCTCCTCCCACAGACGGGGCTTGGCCTGGCGTCCCAGGTAAACACCCACGTTCTTCCTGTCCCAGCTCCTGACAGAGTTAAGCTCCTAGGCTTCCCCCACCCACTTTACGGTACACTTACCCCTCTGGGAAGAGGGAATCGCGAGGGACTATCCCAGTCGGCACGGGGGCAAATTCAAGCCACAGCCAGAGGAAATGAGGGACCCGGTATCACTGGTGGAGCCAGAATTAGAAGCCAGAGATTTCAGCTCCCGGGCTAGCCTGCTCTGTGTGCAGGCATTCCACTCCCGCCCCAGTCAGGCCCTGGCATCTCTCCTCTGAGAACCTGGGATCAGCCAACTTTCCAGCGACGCCAAGGTGACCGCCAGCCCTGCCCAGGTGCTCTCAAGCGCCAAGGGGGAGACCAGAAGCCCAGAGACCTGATGTCCTGAGAACACCAAGCCAGGGCCTCTCATCTCTGGGCCTCTCTTAAGAACTGCTCTTCTAGACTGCTTCCTGGAGAGGACAAAGCATGGGTCAGGAGGACGGAGGCCTGCGAGAGGGCCCTTTGCAGAGCTGCCGTGGTGCCACACAGCACCTGTTTTCCAGGGAGAAAAAAGGCACCTCTTCCTCTGGCCAGACGCGGCCTCACGCCAGGGAGTGTGGCTTGGCGAGGGCAACAGGAGCTACACTGGAGCTGCCACTCCTCCCCTTATCTGGGTGACCCGGTGCAGTTAATGCCTGCACTGCTGCATGAGGCGCCTCTGCAGAGACGGACGTGTGGAATAGTTGGGAATGACTGCAGAGACCCTAATGTCCCTTCTCGGGGCTAAGATCCCCGTGGATCACTCAGGGCCCTGGCTTTACAGGGCTAGAGTCCAGTGGAGGCCCCTGGAAGGGGGTGGGTGCCCCCTAGTGGCTAATAGAAATGGGAACCCCAAGAGTCCTGAGCTCTTGGACCTTCTGACTGGTCTCCGAATCGCATCATCACAGACTTAGATCTGGAAGAGATCTGAGAGAGGGTTCAAGATCACCTCTCGTGTCTTATAACACGAGAGCCGGGCGAGACCAGAAGCAGAGAGACTGTTTGGAAGGTTATTAAGATCATCCTGGAGCAGCAGCAAAGGGACTGGCTTTGGGTGGTGGCAATAAGGGTAGAGAGGAGGGGCTGACAGGGGATGTTGGGGAGTTGACTCAGTGCAATTCGGCCGCTGATCGGATGTGAAGGGAGTAGGGGGAAGGTCTAGCAGAGAGCTCAAGACATGTTTGTGGGATGAAAGAACAAATGAGTTCATGAAAAGGAAGGCTGAGAGAGGACCGAGGCCTTGTCCTGAGGGTCTGGTCCACGCCACCTTCTCTCCCACGGAACAGGATCAAAGCTTAATGATTTCAAATCATTCTGCTCTAAAAGACCCTCCCTCGGGGGAAAAGAGTCCTTAGCTTCTCTCTGGTCATCACAAGGCTGCCCGTCTGAATGGGAAGCCTGAATATCTTGGAAGAAAGGAGTAAAGTTAACCCCAGTCTCGGAAAAGAGTAAACTGGAAAGGAGTGAGAAGAGGGTGGACTTAGGCCACGCCATCCACATCGGTAGCAGCCCCTGCCCTGGACACAAGCCCGTTAGGACCCCAAGCCTGATGGGTTTCTGCTTCTTCTCTGTGGACGGGTTGGATTTATTCCTGACCCCAAATGGGCACAACATGGATTCTAGGTATAAGGGTCTGTTCTCCTATGAAAATAAACTAAAGAAAGGATATCTCCTGACAATCACAAATGAGATCAAGGTGCACTTAGACAGCGCTGGAATACCTTTGATTAAAAAAAACAAAAAACAAAATACTGTCCGGAAAGAAGAAGATTGTTTAGAAAATAAAATGGCGGTCACAAGAGTTTGGAATTTTGTGGAAATTCCATTAATGCAGTGAATTTCAGATGCCCTCTGTTATCTTCAGTTAATGCCTGTTGAACACCTCAGTTACTTTGCTTTGTGGAAAAGAACAGGCAAGGCAAACAACCTTTTCCTTGTCCCGTTCTGAGATCTGTTTCAGGGATCTTTGTAAACGAGTCTGCTAGCTCCTTTTATGGTAGAAAACTGAAAGGAGGAAGTTACCTGCTCAGACTCAAATAGTGAGTCATAGACTAAAACCCGGAAAGGCCACCTCCCTGTCCCGCACTCCTACTGTTTCTACCCCAGCTACTGCAGCTATTTGCCAGTCCCTTCATGGAGACTCCAATTTCCACTTGCACACCACCGAAATCATAGGAATCCAATCTGTCATCCTCTAAGTGGGCCTATTCGTACAAAATATCAGGAAATGCGTTTGATCTGTTGACTGTTTGTGCGTTGGCTTGGTGTGTGTCTGCTCTTAGGCAGTTGGGTGCCCTGGGGTGCCAGGATCCTCTTTAGAACCGCAGCTGGAAGCATCCCAGCATCTCCCAGTCCCCAAGCATCTCCCCAGCTCTGGAGGAGCTGACGAGCCCAGTGACCTGGAGGAGCTGGAGAAGTTTGCCAAGACCTTCAAGCAGAGGCGCATTAAGCTGGGCTTCACACAGGTTCGGTTTGGGGCAAGGAGGTGGAAGAACTTGGGTCGAGTGAGCAGAGACTGGGGTTCCCCAGTGGAGGTTTTAAGAGCTCATTGCGTTTGGGGCAAACCCACCGTGTTCCTGTGTCCCCTGAGAATGGGGCACAGTGGCCGTTGGTAGGGAAAATGGGAACTCCACTGGTGGAGGGGAGAGGAATGAGAGCCAGGCGAGGAGCTAGGCACGAGGGCACAGCGCACTCAGAGTCTAGGGAGAGAAATAACCAAGTCTCCATCTTAGAGGGTAGAAACTGGAAGGGAGCCAGGGTGAGCAAAGGTTCGCTGGGTGTGGATAGGCGCTAGGATGGTGAGGGATGTGGACAAAGGAGAGAAGGGGCCTACCTCTCAAAGTTCTTCCCTCTCCATCCCCACGCGCAGGGAGACGTGGGTCTGGCGATGGGAAAGCTGTATGGCAACGACTTCAGCCAGACTACCATCTCCAGATTTGAAGCTCTAAATCTGAGCTTCAAGAACATGTGCAAGCTCAAGCCGCTGCTGGAGAAGTGGCTGAATGATGCAGGTAGGCCTCAGGGACATGAGGATGGATGGAGCCTTAGAAGGTCTGCAGGGAAGGGGATGGTGACTGGTCCGTGTTGGGGCTTTCTTTCTTCCTTTCTTTTTTTTTTTTTAACAACATTTTAAAATTATTATTTATTTATTTTTGGCTGCGCTGGGTCTTAGTTGCAGCGTGCAGGATATATTTTTTTAGTTGCAACATGGACGCTTATTTGCGGCATGCGAGCTTCTTCCTTGCAGCACGCAGACTATTAGTCGTGGCATGCATGCGGGATCTAGTTCCCCGACCAGGGATGGAACCCGGGCCCCGTGCACTGGGAGCGTGGAGTCTTACCCACTGGACCACCGGGGAAGTCCTCTGTGTTGGGGCTTTTGGCAGTCAATACATAGCACCCTTTCCTCTCCTCCTGAGTCTGGAACCAATTGAGAAATAAGACACAGGAGACAGCCAAGTAGAGACGAAAATGTCAGCTTCACTACTGATAAAGCGCATGGAAGACATAGCTTTAGGTCTGTGGCCACGAAGACTTGCCCCATTTTATTCCCTACCCGAGACACACCCAGCCTAGACGGTAGGACAGCTCGCCAGAGACAAAGCTCGGGTCTGCAGAGCAAACACACTTACCCAGAATGCTGTCTGGACTAGGTCTAGGTCAGGGGGTTAGGGAAGTAGGTTCTCTAGGGTCTCATGGCTGGGAGGAGGAGGCAGTAGGCACAACGCAAGCTCTTCACCTGGCGAATTCTTGAGTAGGTTTTCAGAGGGCAGGGAGTTACTCCAAGCTAGACTGGTTGGGAAAGGCTTACAGCAAGAGTAGGGCTTGCAGGAGGATTCAGTCAGGCGTGGGGGGCCAGGAGGTCCGGGTTGTAAGCCAAGGGCAAAACGTTTGCAATAATGAATGGAAGAGTTTGGTGTCATGGCATAGCATGGGACAGGGTTTCTCAACCAAGGCACTAGCAGCAGCCTGGGCCAGATATTGACCTGTGGCGGAGGCGGTCCTATGAATCGTAGGCTATTCTGCAGCATCCCTGGTCTCTACCCACTAGACGCCAGGAGCACCCGCCCCCGTTGACAGGTGTAAAAATGTCTCCAGGTACTGCCGAATGTCCCCTGGGGGAGTGAGGGTGGTACAGAATCTCAACCCAGGTCGAGAACCACTGGTCTAGGAGCAGAGCCAGTGTCAGGGCTGGGCCCTCGTCTGTAGTTAATGGGGGTCGGTGGTTACTATGGAGAGAGAGGAAAGCGGGGAATGGGCAGCCACGGGTGTGACCCTCTCGGAAGTTGCTCCACGTGGAAACAAGGGAGGGGGTGAGGAAGCTCCCCAGCCCACCCCGCCCCACCCCCACCCGTGGAAGGCTGATCCTTCAGCGGTTTTTGCTGGAGCGCCAAAGTGAAAGAGGTGATCAGAAGGTCTTATCTTCGGGAAGGGATCTTGCGGATCATTTCTTGTGCGATTCCCTGGCTGCGCCTGAATCCTTCCTAAGGGACATCCCCGCCGACCCCTCATACAGCCTCAACCCCAACACTCACACTGAAAAGGAAGTGGCTTCCACACCAACATTCCACCACCAAGTGCCACTGCCTTTAGCTCAAAACACCAGTCCTCATTTTCCTCGGGAGTCGCATCCAGGCCTACTTGTAAAAGACAGGCTCATGGGCGCCACTCGTAGGCGCTCTGCCTGCCCCCACTCACACCCACACGCGCCGCTGATGTCTGGATGTCCCCGAACCATGACCGCAAACGCTGGAGGCACGGCAGTGAGAGGCATAGAGGACCTTTTGCCCAGAGCAATGAGGGGAAGCAGGATTCTTGGTCTGTCTGGTTCCCCTGTGTCGGGGAGGGGGCTGCAGAACCTGCCGGTAAGGGTCATTGGACCCCAAGTCCATCGAGCCAGAGCCTGAACCAGCTGCTTTCCCTTCCCTGAGCCTCCTCTGCTCTCCCCTCCCCACAGAATCCTCTCCATCAGACCCCTCCGTGAGCACCCCCAGCTCTTACCCCACCCTCAGTGAAGTGTTCGGGAGGAAGAGGAAGAAGCGGACCAGCATCGAGACCAGCATCCGCCTGACTCTGGAGAAGAGATTTCAAGATGTGAGCGGGCCCTTTGGGTGGCGACGGGTGGGCCGACTTGCACAGGGGTTGAGCAGACGCACACAAGCTCCCCGGCGCCACACCTGAGCCCCCATACACCTGCCTTGGGAAAGGGTCGGGACGCAGAGACACGCTCCCTTTCCGGGTGCCCCGGTGTTTGAATGAGAGGCTGGGTTCCAGAAACTTCCTCCCCCACTGACCCTTCTCGCCCTGACCTCTGTTTGGTGCCCATTGTCCCTCGAGCCGGGAGATTTAAAGACAGGGGTATAGAATCCCAGAGGAGAGTGTATCTCTGTATCCAGTTGAGATAAAGGGAGCAAAACCAGGGCATTGTATATAAATTCTTTATTTTCTTTGCATTGTTCTGTATTTTTCAAATTATATATATAATAAATGCTCATTGTAAACAATTTGGAAAGTGCAGGGAGGCAGGAAAAAAATCCACCACCAAATGCCATCTAAATGCACGTCCTTCTATTTCTCTCTTCTATGTATATTTAAAGATTTGTAGTCATATTACGTAGACACCTTTTTGAACTTGCAGCAAAAGTATATTCTTGAGCCAATATGTGGACACTAATAATACCAGTTATGTGCCCCGGGGGGGGCTGGGGAAGAGAAGAGGGATAAACAGGTGTGGTCTAAACAGCCTCTAATCAGGATGCCTTAGGTACCAGCCTCCAGAGCTTCCATCCACACCACACGGTCCCTAAAGGGCTCGCCTGTGGCCTAGTTCCACCTTGCAGGCCCCAGACCTCCAGGACTCCTGTCTCTCCAGCAGACGCTCCAGCACATATGACTCAGGACTTGATGGCTGCATCCTGCTGGCAGGATGACAAGACCTGGCTTTTCCTTCTGATTAAGTTTCTGAGAGCAGCAAGAGTAAGGGAGGGTGCAGAAGGGAGAGAAGGGAGCTAAGATCAAAGACTGGGTGGGGGTGGGAGGGGTCAGAACAAAGGAGTGATGGATGTGTATTGGAATGTGTGTGTGTGTGTGTGTGTGTGTGTGTGTGTGTATTTATTTATTTATATACACACATGTCTCCTTTATAGTCTTGATGGGTCCTCATGTTTTAACTTTATCATTTCCTATTTTGAGGTAGGCAGCAAGAAATGACGCAAGAGAAGGGTATCAGATTCTGAGGAAAGAACAGAAGGGAGCGTGTGTTCTGGGGATTCTGCCTGCCCTACCTAACTCATCAGTGGGCTCCTCTTTTCAGAACTTCTGAAGAAGGAGCGAGAGAAGAGCCTCCACCCTGTGTCAGGCCCTGTGCTTGGCAGTTTATACACATTTTCTCATTTAATCTTCATAATCATCCTATACGGGAGGCATTATTTCTCTCATTTCATAGATGATAAGACGCTCAGAGAGGTTCAGAAAGTTTCCTAAGGCCATAGAGTAAGTGCTCAAGCCACTATTCCATCGTAGGTCCAATTCTAAAGCTTTTGCTCCATCTATTGTTCTATCCTGCTTCTTCGGAACATCTGTTCCCCACGCACAATTCTTGATCCTATTCCCTTCTCCTCCTGACTACTCTATCCCTTTGGTTTCTGTAGAACCCCAAACCCAGCTCAGAGGAGATCTCCATGATTGCAGAGCAGTTGTCCATGGAGAAGGAGGTGGTGAGGGTCTGGTTCTGCAACCGCCGCCAAAAGGAGAAGCGAATCAACTGCCCTGTGGCCACACCCATCAAATCACCCATGTACAGTTCCCGGCTGGTGAGTGGCCAGGAGCCAAGCTGCCTGCCAAGCACTGGGGGAGATGAAGCCTGGAGGGCAAAGAGTCCTCCCCGTCCTAAAGAAGATGGGGGTTGGGGAGCAAGGAATAAATATATAAACAAAGAGAGGCTGTATTCAAAAATATATATAATATAAAGAAGAATAAAGAAGGATAAGGAGATGGAAAGTGATTACGGGGAGATGCTTTTATAGTAGAGGGGTAAGAAAAGACCTCTCTGATAGGGTGACATTTGAGCAGGGATCTAAGTATTGAAAGGGAACGAAATATCTGAGGGATAGAGTGTTCCAAGGTAGAGAAACCAGAAAATGAGAAGACCTGACATGTTTGAGGAACAGCAAGGAAGCCAATGTCGCCAGGGCAGGGTGAGGAAGGAGGTGAGAAATGGGAGGTGAAGTCCGAGAAGTAACGGGGAAGTAACAGGAAGCCATTCACCGCGGTCTCGGAGGCCATCGAAAGGACCTTAGCTCCTAGCTTGAGTGAAAAAAGAAGACACTGGAGAGCTGACATGGGCTGCTATGTGGAGATTGATTTGTGTAGAGGCAGGATACCAGCCTGAGAATTACAACCATCAGGCTGAGAGTGGTGGAGGCTTGGGTTAGGGCGGAGATCATGGTGGTGAGGAGACGTGGCCGGATTCTGAATGTATTTCAACCATGAGCTAACAAGATGAGCTGTTAGCTCAGATATGGAGTGTGAGAAATGAGGCCAGGATGAGCAGCTGGTTGGAAGGTGCTGCCATTTTCGGAGATGATGAAGACTGCAGGAGGAACAGGTTTGAGGGGGAAAAAAGACTAAGTATTCAGAGCTGGTCCTATTAAGTTAGACTTACCTCCTAGGCATCCAAGAGGAAGGGTCATGCAGACAGTTATATCTGTGATTCTGGGGTTCAAGGGGAGAAGTCAGGGCTGGCAATAAGTTGAAGTTCAGGCAGAATGGGAAGTTTGGAGGATACGCAATGTCTTCTCCATCTAGGAGAGAGATGGTGCCTGGAGGGTGTCGGGGGGAGGGGGAAGGTTCTTCTTCAACCCTAGGGATGGTGATGGTTGAAGGTTAAGGGAATTAGGGATAATGGTGTTGTCCTATGTCTTTTAGTACTCAAGGATGGGTGAAATTCAGCCTCGTTCTGGGTGGGACATAGCGACTTCATAAAACTATACTATTGTTTATTCTTTCACCAAACATTTATAGACCATCTACTATGTTTTGGTCCTTGTGCTGAGTGCTGGGGATGCACAAAGAAGTAATATTTGTTCCCTGTCCCAGAGGACCTCACTGCCTAGCAGAGGAGACAGACAAATAAACAAATGATAAACGACACGATGATTTCTCTTGGAGAACTTAGGAGTAGCAGCTAACAAAGTCTTGGGAGCTGGTGGTTAGGGAAGGCTTCCCCAAGGAGATAATTAATACCTGAGCTGACTCTAAAAAGACAAGGAGGAGTGAAGAGGCAAATAAGTGAGGGGCGGAATTCCCCCGGGGGTAGTGTGAGACCAGTGGTGTGGAGGAGGGAGAAGAGAGCACATGCACGGGATGGCCGGTGCTTCCACGCGGAGGAATGCTGAAAGATGAGGCTGGATAGATCAGCAAGGGCCAGACACAAGGGGCTATGAGCGAGGCTAAGGAACCTGAAGCCCTGGGGAGTTGCTGAAGGACGTGAAGTAGGGCATTAGTGTGATCTGATTGCTTTTTAGAACGATCACTTTGACTGTAGTTATAAAGGGTGGTTTGAGAGGCATCATATTTGGTTTCGGAGAGACCAGTTAGATGTGACTGCAGTTATCCAGCAGTGACATTATAAGGGCTGAAGCAAACCCATTTGGTAAGAATGAAGGGGATGGGAGAGATTCAGGAGATAATTAGAAGGTAGAATTATTAGGTCTTGGTTAATAAATTGAAAACTGGGTGGGGCAGGGAGAGCCATAAAGGAAAGAGAATACTCTGGGATGACTCTCAGCATTCAGGCTGGGCTGATTGGGTAGAAGCTGGTGCTGTAGACGGAACAATTAAACACAGGGGGAGGAGCTGGCTTAGGAGCAGGAAAAAATGATGATTTCAATTCTTTACATCATTATGATATACAGAGAGGCCTGTGGGACACCGAAGTGGGAATGTCCCGGGCACTTGGAATAATGGGTCTGGGGCTCAGGAGGAAAGGCTAAGGTAGAGAAATGGGCTGGGAGTCATAAGCACACAGGTGGTAGTTGGAATCCTGGGTAAGGAGGAGCTCACCTGTGGAGTTTGTACAGAGGAAGCAAAGAGGAAAGTTGAGGTTTCAACCCTGGGGAACACTAGCTTTTGAGGGATGGGCAAAGGGAGAGCACCAAGGAAAGAAACCGAGAAGGAGGAACCAGAAAATGCAAAAAAAATGCAATGAAGTATATGGAGGGGTGATGCAGATGCGAAGAGCCCTGCAAGAGTGCTTTGGGAACACAGATAAAAGACCCCCAAATCAGAATGGGGTGTGGGAGGGCTAACCCCCTGATTTGTTTGGAGAACAGAAACAGATTAGGAGTTAGCAAAAAGAACAGCATAGCTGGCAGAAAGAACAGTGTGTGAGAGGCATGGAATTATAAAACAACATGATGCATTTGGGGAATCACAAGCCTTTTGGTCTGGCTGGAGCTAAGGGTTTAGGACTAAGATAGAGAGGTTGATGAGAGCTAGATCATGGTGGGTTGTGGATGCTAAATTACTCTCAAAGATATGAAGAACCGCTGACAGTTTTAGGTTGGGGACAATGTGATATTCATTCACCATTCCTGTCTTAAATACTTACTGAGCACCCACCATCTGTTTGGCACTGGGATATGGTGGTACACAGGATACTTATTGGTGATCTCTGCTGAGAGTCTAGCAAGGAAAACAGACATTAAACAAATGCAATTTGTGATGAAGACTCCAGATAAGATGTGTGGGTATCTGAGGGACCTAACCTGGTTCAGATGTCAGGGGCTTCTCGAGGAATGATGCTCAAATTGACAGCAGAAGAAAGAGTAGACTTGAATGGGGAAAAGGTCTGAGTTGCGGTGGGAGACAGGACGGAAGGGCGGAGGTAGTGTCGGGAAGAACATTCTATGCAGAGGAAACTGTGTACAAAGGTTCTGAGGCTGGGGTGGGTGGGGAGAGGAAGCAAAGAAGGTTGGAATGGAACCCGAGGAGTGAGAGAGAGTGTGTGGAAGAGGAAGCTGGAGTGGTAGGCGGGGGCTAAATCATGTAGGACGTTGTAGACCATGTTAAGGAACCTGAACCATGTCATAAGAGAATCAGAATCTTTAAAGACGGGGCTTTGTTTAGAATAGATGGGAGGCAGTTATCACTTTGGTTCAATCCCAGCCTGGGACACCAATGTGGAGGAAAGTGGTGGGAGGCATGGAGGTGCCGTAAAGGAGTGTCATGGGTTCTCATCGTGCATTCAACACATATTTACTTAACACCTGCAAAGTTCCAGGCACTGCAGTAGACACTGAGGACACAGCAGGGGACCATGCAGGCATCATCCTGCCCTCATGAATTCCCCAGCCTAGTGGGGGAGAAAGATGTTAAATAAATAATCACATTAATACTTGTGGCATCCTGAAGGAAGACTAGAGAAAGCGTTCTAATCCTGTCTTCTCCTCAGGTCTCATTGGGACACTGTCCGTGGGACTAAGACATAGTTCCTTCTGCTTCTGATGTGAAATGATCTCTAAGATACACAGTTAAGGGGGAAAAAAAGAATGAGACAGACAGAGAAGGAAGGAAAAGAAAAAGGCAAAATTATTCAGACCAGTGTGCGCAGCACGCTTCCATTTATATACAAAATATTAAAGGAACCATATCTATGTCTGCTTGCATATGTATAGTCTGTCTCCGGAAGGAAGCAGAAGAAGCTGGTCGCAGTGACTAAATAATTATTTATTTAAAAACAACAACAAATGTCTGGGGCTGTGGCAGCAGGGAGGGGCGGAGGAGAAGAGAGAGGGAGATTATCAATAACATCTCTTACCTCTTACCACGCTGCTCCACACCTGTCTCCACCCTTGGTGGGCCCCAGCCGACTGAGGACGCTCCTTGTAAAAGGGCAGGTAAACGAAAGCAGCAGAACCCTTGCTGATTAATTAGGAAATGAGTACATGCTGCATCCTGTCGGGATGGGATGTTCCAAACTGGGGAGGGGAGGATCGCCAATCCCAGCTCCCTGAGCAGAACTTCCTTGCAAGGTCCTTTGTAAAGGTTGATCTGAGCGTCCCAGGTCAGCATGAGAAGAATAAGGGGGAGGAAAAGTATGCAGGGTTCAGCTCAAATGAAGAAATAACAGTTTCTAGCTGGAAACACACAACAGTTGACAGCTTCCTGCTGGAAGGAAGGGAGCTAACAGCCGTGCGCTGTTTGCCAGGCATTGAGTTGGAAGCTTTACGGACATTATCTCATTAAATCTTAATTAAAAGAAAATATGAGGGAGGTATTACTGCTCTTTTACGGATGAGCAAACCAAATCTCAGTGGGGTTAAGTAACTTGCCCACATCACACAGACAGTGGTGGAGCCAGGGCTCACCCCCAGATCTGTTGGGCCACAATGTCTATTCTTTTTATTATATCTTGTTCCAGGTTGTGCTAGGATAGTAATACTGAGGGAGGGGATTCCTGAACTGTGTGGGAGGTTAAGCCAAATCATCTTAGGTCCCTTCCAAACTCAGAGTTGATGATGCTGTGAAGTATCCAGGGCAAGATGAAAGGCTTCAGAGACCGCAGTTCATCTCGTCCAGTTACCTCGGGAGAGTGGATGGTCTACTCATGCATCAAGATGGGAAGCCTGAAACAGGGTGGTTAGGGCTGGGTGCTCTGCTGCCCTGAGCAAGTGCAAGGGTCTTTTAAGAAAGAAGAAGAGGGACTTCCCTGGTCCTCCAGAGGATAAGACTCCACACTCCCGATGCAGGGGCCCCAGGGTTCGATCCCTGGTCGGGGAACTAGATCCCACACACACGCTGCAACTAAGAAGTCCGCAACTAAGACCCAGTGCAGCCGAAATAGATAAATAATAAATAAAATAAATAAATACTTTTTTAAAAAGGAAGAAGAAGGGACTGGAAAATAGGCAGCCATCCAGCAGTGTCAGCCACAGCAGGGTCCGGGAGGCGTGCTCCTCTCATCACCGGAGCACTTGAGCAGGGCAGCTTCAGCCTGGCAGTGCCCAAGAGACCTTGCCAGGGGACACGCAGCAGGGAGGGCAGGGCCTGGTGTCAGCAGCAGGGAGACGTGGGAGCAGGGCAGAGCCGGAGCTGGGTGCTGTGCGCGGTCCAGAGACCTTCCTGTGAAACAAGGCACAGAGTGCAGGTTTGGGACTAGGAAATCATCCAGGGAGCTGAGCCCTGTCTCTGCAGAGTCTGGGGCCCAGCATCCTGGGAGAAGTGCCAGAGGTGGGAGAAGGAAGCAGAAGTGGACATTTATAAGCTTCTGTTGCCTTTCAGGTGTCTCCCTCTGGGTCTCTGGGGCCCCTCTCTGTCCCTCCTGTCCACAGCACCATGCCTGGAACAGGTGAGCTCTAAAAATGAGGTTTCTGAATAGTACCAGAATTCTTTTAAATAATGGGATACTAGAACTGAGAGGTACCTACCTAAGTCAGCATTCCCAAAACGTATTTCAAAAGATGTTAAAATCTGTGCTAGGAAGAAAAGGCTTCTGTGATCAAGTAAGTTTGGGAAATGCTGGGTAGGCAAAGTTTGAACAAGTGTTTGTTTTTGTTTTAATTGTCGCAGTTTCTCCATACAAATGAGCTGTATGGAAGGCAGGGTTTTCCAAACCAATTTTCTACAGAACTCTATTTTTCAAAGAGTATTCCAAAGCATTTCAAAGAGCTAGAGAGGATGACCATATGACAGTCCCTTGTCCTGACATAATTATCAATAGCAGTGCCTTCGACCCTTCAAAGCATCTTAGCTTGGAGGGTGAAATATATGTCACCTTCTCCACGGAATGCTGTTTGGGAAACTCAAATACAGCTTAATCCAAATCTGCCATATTACAGAGGTCGAAAAGGGGACGCAGGGGATGCAGGGACGTGAAACAGGTTGCCACAGGCCACAGAGCTGCTTAGTGAATGGACCAGGACTCCTCACTCCTGGTTGTGTTCTTTCTGGAAGACCACGAACCCTCTGGAGATGGCAACATCAGAGAGGCTGGCCGTCTTTACCTGTGCTCTCAGCTTCTCTTTTCCTCCCCGAGCACTTTGCTTTCTTTCCTCCTCTCTTCCTTTCCAAGGCTTCTGGTTCTTTTGCTCATCCTGCCCCGTGGTCCGGGGCTGCGTATGCCCAGCCCAGGGCGTGTCCTGGAGTAGGATGATTTTGGCATCTGTATCTCCTGCGTTCGGCTAGTCTGGGACTCGCAGAACCAGCCACGCCGCTCTCCAGGGCCCGGGCCGAGGAGAGCGTGTATGAGGAGGGCCTCTTTGGGGCCGGGTGTCGATGCTAACATGGTAGGAGTTGGGCAGATGGGTGGCGGGTAGGGACAGGGTGAGCCCCCTTGGAGGATACGTGTCTGAATGTCACGAGGTCCCCAGACCCAGCCTCATTGTTTCCCCCTTGTTTTTGCCTCTCCTTGTTCTCAGTAACGTCATCCTGCCCCTCTGGGAACAACAGCAGGCCTTCGTCTCCTGGCCCAGGACTCCACGCCAGCAGCCCTACTGCATCTCAAAATAACTCCAAAGCGGCTGTGAACTCCTCCACCAGTTTTAACTCTTCAGGGTGAGGCAGAGGGGCGAGCCCAGAGATACCTCAGCGGGGCCGAGGGACATGTGAGAAGCTGCGTCTGGGTCAACACCTTGGGAAGGAAAGCTTGTCACGGGGCTGGACAAGGGGAATGGGGGGGCAGGGAGGGGGCAGGGTGGAGCGCCAGACTGGGCTCTCTCCCTAGGGAGTGGGATTTAAAAGAGAAGCCTTAGCCAGAGAGCAGTCCTGGCAAGGAGCTGATGTCAACAAAGCCAACATTTCCCTCCTCACTGGGAGGGTGGAAATTTCCAAACCCTCCTGTCAGAAAGGGCCAGGTCCTTCACTGGGCTGAGGAGAGTTACCCTCCAGGCCAGCGCCTCCGCTCTGGGGTGTTCTGCCCCGAGCCTGAGCTTCCAGCGTGGCTGACACTGTGAGAGCAGGAGGGTGCTACCCCGTAACCTCATGCTCCCACCCGGGATGCAGCGGGAAAAGCAGCCTCTCAAGCTTTGATTAATGAAGGAAAGAATCTACTCTAAGAAGTGTTCTCAGCGGATGCCTCGAGAGATCCTTCCCCGATTCAGAACAAAACAGAGATTTGCAAGTTAGGCGATTGGTTGAAGACCTGAGCTTGTCGGAAGAAGTGAACCCGCTTGTCCACACCCAGACTGTTCAGCAAGGCAGCCACCTCTTATGGGCCAATTGTTGCACAGCCCTAAAGGTTGGAGCTCCTCAGCTGTCTCCACCAAAAAAAAAAAAAAAAAAAGAGAGAGAGAGAAAAACATATAATGTACATTTTAAAGAATTGTCTTGAGATATAATTCACTTTCCATAAAATTTACCATTTTAAAGTGTACAAGTCACTGCTTTTTAGTTTATTCACAAGTTTGTGCAATTGTCACCACGATCTGATTCCAGGACATTTTCATTACCCCCCACCCCATACCTACCCGCTAACACTCACTGCTCATTCCCATCTTCCCTCCTCATTAGAAGCTGTCCAACTGACTTGTTTCTTCCTTCCTTCTAGATCTTGGTACCGATGGAATCATCCCACCTACCTCCACTGAGACCAAAAAAGTTTCTCCTATGCCACCTGGCCCTGTATTCCCCACTGGAAGGAAGGGAGTCACGCCTTCTCTGTATGGACAGATTACTTTCAGGACAGTAGAAGAGAATCTCCACTATCAATGAACCCAAACTCTTGCCTTGTTCAGGAGCAAGGGCCTCTGGAGATCCAAACTGCGACCGAACCGTGTGCTGGCTCCCTAGTGCTCTTGAAACGCACAGCCCGCCTAGGAGTTGACCATTTTTACCTTCCTTGCCTGTGCCCTTCTCCTCTCATTCCAAATATGTCAGATGGCTTCACTGCGACGGTGGTCTTTCAGAAAGGACCTCTTGGGCTTCCCTGGTGGCGCACTGGTTGAGAGTCTGCCTGCTGATGCAGGGGCCACGGGTTCATGTCCCGGTCCGGGAAGATCCCACATGCCGCAGAGCGGCTGGGCCCGTGAGCCATGGCCGCTGAGCCTGCGCGTCCGGAGCCTGTGCTTCGCGACCGGAGAGGCCACAACAGTGAGAGTCCCGCGTACCGCAGAAAAAAAGGACCTCTTGCCGTTATTCTCCAGCTCATCTCCAGCTCATTCTGGGCACAGCCATTTGCCTGGTGCCAAACCACCAGAGGGGTGAGAAGGTTTTGACTCTGAACTTAGCCACAATCTCCGAACTGATTCTAGAATCTATGAAAAGATTTGAATCTGATGTCTCCACCAAAGCTCTGATGTCTACTCTGTTCAGCAAAGCCTTCTGACTGAGTCTTCACGTCACCCTATTTTCTCTTTAGCCCCGCCCCTTTTCCAGAACCACATCCGTTCATGATTGTGTTCTCCGAATTCCCTCCTCTTTACAGAACACTGAGCCACACTCAGCCCCCTGGGCACATTGCTCTGCCCACAGGTGTTCTTCTGTCTGCTCTGTCTGCCCCAGAGTTCAGAAACGCTTGTTCTTTCTCTCCTTTCCTGTATTTCTCCTTATCTCGTCCTCTATCCCTTCTCCTGGTGCAGAAGGAAGAACACAAAAGCACACACGCAACAATTATGCTGGCAAATACCTGTATATAGCCCTTTCCTTTTTTTGCATTATGTTCTTCTCTCCTTAGTGTGGAATTTTCCAGCAAAATATTTAACTCAGGTGTGAATTTTGAAGATCTCTGTAATATTTTATCTTCTTTAACAAAAAAGAAAGAAAAAGAAAGGAAAAACAATACCAAAGTGTGAAATACCTTGCTAGCTTCCACAAGAGTTCCCACGTGGGCTGGGAATCCTTGTTGATTTCTGCGGGAACATTCTTTCTCGAGTCTCCTTCTTTGTGGGCCAGTGTGTAAACATGTAACATGAAGCCATTCCAGAGATGGTAACTTTTTTTTTTAGAGACGGCATGTCCAAGAATATGATGAGATTCAAAGGAATCTCTCTGTTCCTAAATAAATTTGTATGGTGATGATATACAGTATTCCACTATTGGCAAGAAGAGGTTTAGATTATCCTGGGTCTTTTTTTGTGCAGGACATGTGAGTGCGTGTAATGAAACGGGGTGGAGACAGGGTTTCACATTGGCGGATTAAGTCTGTGACTCCCCGAACTGATGCTAAAGGTGATATACATTAACACAGGACTCCGAAGAGTTCAGAGTTTCTACTCTTTTTGACAGAACAGCCTTGAGGACAGAGTAGGTAAGAGATTGGCTTCTTCATTTTGTAAGTGGGAGAATGGAAAATGTTTAAGGTCAAGTCATTTGGAGACTTTAAGAGGTGAAGGCTGAGGCTAATAGTTCATATCTCAGGATGTCCTGAAGGTCAATTATTCATTATTCGCAATGGAAAGTGATAGATATTTGAGACAAGGGATAATTCAAAAGTCAAATCTATTTGGCTTTGGGATGCACTGTGACTTTTGATGAGAGGGTTGAGGGGCAAGGAAGCTATCCCTGTGGTTTTTCTTGGGTTAATAAAAAGTTAAAGAGTTACCATTTTTGAGGCAAACATTGACCTGTGGTGGGAAAGGGAGGCCCTTCAAAAATGTAATGACTGAAGGGAAGAAACTAAAATTGGCATTAAACATTTGTTGCAAATACTAATATCCAAGGGAGAAATCCATACCTAAATAACCGTAAGTTAAGTGCTTTTCATGTTTGTATGGGGCTTATACTAAGACTCATACTTCATGTTATGAAGTGGAAGAAAGCCTGTTGGTAGTGGTTACTTTGTCAAGAAAAGATCCAGTTGAAAGGGGCTCGGTATGTGTCAAAGAGATAAGAGGAGCCTGCAGCAATAATTAAAGTATGTAAAGAAATTACTTTGCCACCCATGAGCCCAGCTGTGCATATCTGTGCACACACACACACACACACACACACACACATATGTATGCACTGTCCCTCGCATACTCATGGGTGCCGGAGCTGATGCTTTCCTGCAGCAGTCTTGGCCACCTTGACATCTTGCTCAGATGAGTGCTGAAAGCTGATGTCCTGCACTGTTCATGAGGCTGGTTTTCACTCATTTGACCCTTTAAAAAATACTTCATTTTTTAAGAGCAGTTTTTTTGGTTTACAACAAAATTAAGAGGAAGCTGTAGAGATTTCCCATAGGCCTCCTGCCCAAACACGTTCGTAGCCTTCCCCATTATCAACATCACTCACGAGAAAGTAAACTTTTTTTTACCAAGAATGAACCTACACTGACACATCACAATCACCCAAAGTCCATAGTTTACCTTAGAGTTCACTCTTGGTGTTGTACATTCTACGGGTTTGGGCAATAGTATAATGACGGAGATCTATCATTATAGTGTCATACAGAGTATTTTCACTGCCATAACAATCTTCTGTGCTCTACCTATCCATCGCTCTCCCTTCTACGCCCTTACAACCACTGATCTTTTTTTTTTGCGGTACGCGGGCCTCTCACTTCTGTGGCCTCTCCCGTTGCGGAGCACAGGCTCCAGATGCTCAGGCCCAGCAGCCATGGCTCACGGGCCCAGCCGCTCCGCGGCATGTGGGATCTTCCCGGACCGGGGCACGAACCTGTGTCCGCCGTACCGGCAGGCGGACTCTCAACCACTGCGCCACCAGGGAAGCCCTGATCTTTTTTACTGTCTCCACAGTTTTGCCTTTACCAGGATGTCACATGGTTGGAATCATAGTATACAGGCTTCCCAGGTTGGCTTATTTAGTAATATGCCTTCAAGTTTCTTTCATGTCTTTTCATGAGCTTGCTAGCTCACTTCTTTTTAATGCTGAATAATATTCTCTTGTCTGGATGTACCACAGTTTATTTATTCATTTACCTACTGAAGGACATCTGGGTTACTTCCAAATTTTGGCAATTATGAATAAAGCTGCTACAAATATCTGCTTGCACGTTTTTGTGTGGACATAAATTTTCAGTTCCTTTGGGTAAATACCAAGGAGCGTGATTGTCGGATCGTGTGGTAAGAGTATACTTAGTTTTGTAAGAAACCACCAAACTGTCTTCCAAAGTGGCTGTACCACTTTGCATTCCCACCAGTAACATTACCAGCGTTCTTGTTGCTCTACATCCTCACCAGCCTTTGTTGTCAGCGTTCAGGATTTTGGTCATTCTAATAGGTGTATAATGGTATCTCATTGTTTGTTTTAATTTGCATTTCCCTGATGACATGATGTGGGGCAACTTTTCACATGCTTATTTACCATCTGTGTATCTTCTTTGTGAGGTGTCTATTAAGATTTTTGGCCCATTTTTTAATCAAGTTGTTTGGTTTTTTTTTACTGTTGAGTTTTAACAGTTCTTTGTATATTTTGGGTAACAGTCCTTTACCAGATGTGTCTTTTGCAAATATTTTCTCCCAGTCTGTGACTTCTCATTCTCTTGATATTGTCTTTCACAGAAGTCTTTAATTTTAGTGAAGTCCAGCTTGCTAATTATTTCTTTCATGGGTTGTCTTTGGTGCTGTATCTAAAAAGGCATCACCGCACCCAGCATCATGTAGGTTTCCTCCTTTGTTATCTTTAGGAGTTTTATAGTTTTGTGTTTTACATTTAGGTCTGTGATCCGTTTTGAGTTAACTTTTGTGATGGTGTAAGGTCTGAGTCAAGGTTCATTTTTTTCACGTGTGGATGTCCAGTTGTTCCAGCTCCATCTGTTGAAGACACTACCTTTGTCCCATTGTGTTGCCTTTGCTCCTTTGTCAAAGATCAGTTGACTGTATTCACGGGGGTCTATTTGACCATGGTTTTCATGAAAGAAATAAACAGAATTACAGTCTAACTGCTCAGCCTCCCGTAGCTTCCATTGTCCATTGCCTTGGACAGTTGCTGAACAGAGTCAAACCTGAAGGTGGGTACCAATTCACATTTCATGTCTGCAAGATTCTGTAAAACTCATCATTCCAGTCAAGTTTAACAGAAGCCTGGTCAGCTTCTTCAGCATCTAATTAGGCACAAGAGAATCAAAGGGCAACAACCAGTCATTGTTTAGGAGGAAGGAAAGGGAAAAAGAATTGTTGCCGCTGCTTTTTGAACGCGCAAAACTTCGATCTTTAGTTGACTCAAGACTGGTGGGCCCAGCTGTGGGCGCCCAATACTAAGGGCTTTTGGTCCAACTCAGAGAATGAGTTTAGTCGTAGACTCAAATTAGGAATCCTGTCCTGAGGCCCCAGGTTGCCGGTTCAGTGCCTCTTCTCCCTGTGCCCTCTGCATCCCCATGCTACATTCATGGACTGGTTTTGCTGACTCACCTGCTTCTAGTGCTAGACTGTGGGGAGCTCCTTGTAGCTGAGTCTGTCTTTTTCTCTGTATTCCCATGACTAGCATTGCGACTAGTACATGATACGCAATTCAGGTTTTTAAAAGTTGAATGCTTTCTTTTAACCTCTAAACAACTTCTAGTGCCTTTCACTGATGTTAGGAGCTATGAATACAGAAAAATATAGTACCATCTGTAGTGGAGGCAGACTATCTTCATGGTTAAGAGCATGACCTCCAGTGCCATATTGCCTGGGTTCATACCCAAATCTGCCTCCTATTAATCATGTCACCTTGAGCAATTTCCTCAAGTGCTCTGTGCCTCAGTTTCTCACCTGTAAAATGGGGATAACAACAGTATCCATCTCGTAGAGTTGTTGTGAGAATTAAATGAATGAATATATATTATATATATTATATATATATGTGTAAAGTGCTTGGAACAATGCCTGATACATTAATAAGTGTTATCTGTTATTATCCTGATTATTATGATATTATTGTTATTCAAATAAATTGGTGGAGAGTTTCCTGTCCCCTGCTCTCTCTAAAAGCCCAGAACTTTCCTGGGGGACACCACAGTTGACAAGCATATGGTTTGGTGGAACAAGGATTGTGGCCAAAGATATGT